TAGTGTATAAAAAACTTACAAATTAAAAGCTACAACATAGTAATATATCTCAAAAAGTAGTCATAAGACCCCAAACCAACTCAAAAACCTATAAGCTTGTTTTCTTTATGAAGTTTGTAAGTGACTTGTATGCATCTTTAACTAAAAGAATGATCTTTTTATAGTAAATGTTTCATTAAGTGTTTATTAAATATAATATAAGTTATAAAACATTTGAGTGTTAAATCATTCTTAAGAAGATTTTTGAGTTGTATTAGTTAAAAGATGAGTGTTTCAAATGAATGTGGTTTGAGCAAAAATGCTTCTATATAGTCTTGAGAGTTTCAAATACATGATGTTCAAAAAGAATGCTAGCTTTATAAGATATATAAAAGAAAAATCCAAATATTCTTTTTTTTTAAATTATTATTTTAAAATGCAAAATAAAAGGAAAAATCCAAATACTCTTTTTTTAATTATTATTTTCGGAACTTTAATTACCTAAAAAAAATACAAAAAATTTAAAAAAAAAATACCGTTTTTTTTTTTTTTTTTTTTTTTGAAAAAGACGTGAAATATTATAATAGAATATTACACTGTAAATATTCTAATGTGATTTTTAGAATGTAAGAATGTTATACTAGATTTCTCAGATATATAGAATATTCTATTATTCTACTAGAATATGTAACAAAAAATGTATTTTTTTATTAAAAAAATTGGTATTTTTTTTTTATTTTTTTTGGAAAATATAAATTCCGAAAATAATAATTGAATTTATTTTCGAAAATTTTCAATTATTTAATATTTTAAAAATGTTTTTTGTTTTATCTACCATATGAATGAGTAGGATTGCGTCTCACGGTCTCACAAAATTAGGTCGTTTAAAATGAACCTAACCATATATATATATATATATATATATATATATATATATATTATATATATATATATATATATATATATATATATATATATATATATATATATACACACACAAACACTTTTTTTTAGAAAGACAAATCTAACTTATTCATACATTACTCCTAATTGCATATATTTCCAAGACGAGACTTGAACCCTCCTATATTTACTTCCGACCTATCATCATATTTGTTTTAAATAATGACAAGTGTATTAAAATATCATTACTTTCATAAAATGTGACACATGTCACCATTTAACATAAGTATGAGAATATATAAAAAGAAAATATAGAAGATACTTAATTTCTCTATTTTATAAGAGAGTTCAAATTCATACGTTCTACAATAAGTTTGAAAAGTTACATATTGCTATGTTATCATAACTTTTCAAATAAAACATTTTAAAAATACTATGTTAATTCAAAATTAAAATACAATTTTATAATCAATGTTCTAAATAACTTTATATGTGATTTGATGGCAATGTCAAGCTTCAACCTTTTATGAGCCATGACGAGACACTATGTTTGTAAGGCATGACTTAAGGTGTAGAACCCTGGAGAAGCTGGGGGCACTCGGCCTTCCGGTGGTCGGTCTGGTTGCAATGAGAGCAAACCATAAATCCCTTGGGGCAATCCCTAGCAATGTGCCCCTCCTTGCCACACTTGTAGCAAGCACCCGATCGACATGCCCCCTCGTGACCCTTGCTGCACTTTCCGCAAGTGCGGCCCTTCTGACCTCTCGATCTCGAATCGGCGGACTTGGTCCGCTTGGCTGCCGGCTAAGACTGAGCCGGCCGCCGGTCCACCCGTTGAGACTCGGCCTCCTCCCTGGCTTGGGTCTCCAACTCGATCTCACGCTTCTTGGCATTCGCCTGAAGCTCAACAAAATTCTGGTATGACGAGTTCGATACGAACTCTCGGATATCCCTCCTCGGCACACCCAAATACCGGCTCATCTGAGCCTGCTCCGTGGACACCTGCTCAGGGCAAAACATCGCCCTCTCATGAAACTTTCGTGTGATCACCGTGACAGAATCATTACCCTGCTTGAGGGTCAATAACTCCTGAACCAACCGTTCCCTCTCCACCGGGGGAACGTACTCGTCTCTTAACATAGTAGTAAACCTCTCCCAAGTCACAACTGAAACCTCTCCCAGAGTGAAGTTCGCCGTCATGAACTTCCACCAATCCTTTGCTCCCAGGCGGAGCTGGTTCAAGGCGAACCGTACCCTCAGATGCTCCGGGCATGAACAAGTGTAGAAGCATCCCTCGGTATTAGCAATCCACCTCATCGTAGCGATCGGATCCTGCGTCCTGTCAAACTCGGCTGGCTTCGTGTTGCTGAACTCCCGGAACAGCAACGAGTCACCTCCCTGTGGTCTGGCAGCGGCCACAGCTGCGGTAGCTGCAGCGGCTGCGGCCTCAGTCACCGCGGTGTACCGCTCATCAAAAGTCTCCATCAGTGTGGTCTTAATAGACCCAAACATCTCCGGAATCTCAGCTTAGATCGCTGCAGCCACCTCCTCATGAATCATCTGACGAAGCTCCTCGTCACTCACACTGCTCGTACCAGGTCTGTGGCGTGGTCCAACCATGATGCCTCTGAAATACAACATAGAAATATCAGAGACTCTATCGAGCATAATCGTACTCGATAACGCAACCCTACTCAGTCTCCGATACCCAGGGATTCTTACTTGGGTTGCCCACTGACCCGGTGTCTTCAGTAGTACGGGTCCAATACTACCAACTACACCGCATCAGCGTTCACCCCAAGTCCTCCTCCCCAAAACCCGGATCATGAGTACTTTATTCTTGCCATGCACTAGCTACCCACTCGCTCTCAAAGCAACTCATACCAGCAGATTTCCCAAGACTAAGGCATCACAAATCAGGCAACTCTAGTCATAATATGAATACCTAGTCTACTAGCATGCATATCATATCATATCTCATAACACATATTGTAAGAGTATTTTGGGGAGTTTACCGTTTGGGCGTTGGCTGACTGTACACACTTCCTCTTCTTTGGTTGTTTCAAAATCACTTATCAATTTTTTTTTTTGATTTTATTAATTAAAATTTCTCAAATCCCCGGTTTGAGTTCAGTTACGCCCGAAGGTGTACCCGAATCCCTCAAACCAAGGCTCTGATACCAACTTGTAACGACGTAAATTTTAAAACCAATTTTTCATTTTTGTAAACATCAAAAACATCGATTAACATTTCAAATTCAAACGTAAACAATATTGTCACAACGAAATACATCCCAAAGATCATAAAATAGTTTTCCGCCGACAATGTGTACGATCATGCCGGCGCCTTCCCACAGTCCTCGCTAGTACCTGAAACACATCACACAACAATTGTAAGCATAAATGCTTAGTGAGTTCCCCAAAATACAACCTACACACATACGCCTTTCCAGGCCCTGACCTTCCAGTCCATGTGTCTCAGGGGACTTCCGTCCCGACTAGGTAAACCTTCCGGTCCTACCCACATCAATCTTATGGTCCACATCACAACTTTTCTGGCCCATAACATATTCGCCTTCCGACCCATAATATAATGCCTTCCGGCCCGTATCAAGCATATCATACATGGCACATATAACGAATAACTTATCACACATAACACATATATCTCATAGCATATCCGAACTTCTGGTCACACAGTCAAACCCTTCCGGGTACAGTATAGTGAGAAAACTCACCGTGGAAAGTCTAAGATCTCACGTCCTCGTTATCACCGAATCCAAACGACGACTCTACCTCTCCTAAACATAAAAATATCATTTAATACACAAAGACTTCCACCACTAAAACTTTACCCCTTATCATCATGCCTCAGAGGGTAAAAGACCATTTTACCCTTCCTTGACCTAAAGTCCTCATGTTGACCAAAACCCTAAAAGTCAACAAAAGTCAACCTTAAGAGTACGCGGGGCATACTGCTAGATCTACGTAGGGCGTACATCGCCAATCCCTTGGATCGGGGTCTCCACCTAGTACGCTGCGCGTACTGGAAGTTACGCCCAGCGTAACCATCAGAATCAGCCACTCTTCATTTCTGGTCTTAATCGGTTAAGCCATTACTCCAACTTCTAGATCCGACTCATTTAGTGTGTCTAAACCCATAAAGTCAAGACCTTTAAGCCTTGGCATGGCTATAAAGGCTCCAACATCACATAACAACATTCTATTCAAACTCAAGGACCTAGATCTCATGCATGGTGCAATACCCACGTCCAAGATGTCATTTTTACGAGTCTACAACTCCAATAGATCAGGAACATGAAGTATCTAAGCTTATGGAGGCCATTTGCACAAAAAGTCTCCACCTTTGGGACTTAAACCCTAGAAAATGATACTTTAAGCATACAACATGAACCAAGTGACAAGATCCAAACTTTATACCTGATAATGAAGCTTTAACCCTTGCAAAGCTCAGATCTACACTTGAGCACCACTTCTAGCCTCTCCAACAAGCTCTTCTTCTCCTTTGCAACCTTGGAATGGCACTACCAAGCTTAGAATACACACACAATGGATAAAGAACGAATGCACACTCTTCTAGGGTTTCACTCTGAGGGATGGTGGCTGAGAAGTCCAGCCACACATTCCTTTTATAGCCCCTCCAAAGGAAATTAGGGTTTGGATCTGAATAAGTTACGCCGGGCGTAACCTTGGGTACGCCCCGCGTACCTGAGGGTGAACGCGTCCAAATGAGGCGCGCGAGTACGCGCAGCGTACACTTTGTACGCCGAGCGTACTCGCCTACCATTAAAAGCCTAAATTAACAATTTAATCCAAAACAGAAGAATACCTGGATTTCGAGCTGTTACAGCCACCATAGTCGAAATTGATGAAACCATACCTCGTCTTGCTTCAAACGCCTCAAAATGGATTTTAGATGTCGATGCTTCTTGTTTTTATTATCCCATTTCTTTCAAAATCAAATCGACCCAAAACCCTAGTTCTTGTTGTTCAAATCAATTTCAATGGTGAACCTCCAACTTCATTGGTTTGAAGAAAAATATATTAGAAATAGTGTATCAGAATCCAGTAGTGGTGGTAATTGGTGAGAACGGTTCATGGAAGAGAACTCAAAAATCTTAGATATTACACAAAAATGGCTACACGAAGATCAAAACTATCCCAGTCACCCAACCCACCGTGTCACCATCGTCTATGTTTCAAGGTAATCATATTCTCACACCTTAATTTTTACCTCTCATGTATCTGTGCGACTTTGATTACTTCCTTGGATCATTTGAGGTTCCTTTTCTATCCTTCTTTTCTCCCAATGTTTCAATACACATGTGATTAAATTACACATGAGATCTTATTGTTTATTCATTTAATTAGAAGGTATGATAAGGGCTTGAATCTCTCAAGTAAATTATTCCCCTGTAAAGGTATTGGTCTAAAATTTCATTGGTTTGGTTACAGATCATTTATAATTACTTCTGAAAGCTACTCTACACAAACTAAAAATGCAGGGCCTTTGTCTATATTAACAAAGAAGTTAAGTAGTTGGAATGAGTATTATGAATGGAGAGGCATCCCTTTAGATTCTCATGTTGCTCTGCGTTTGCACTGGGTAATGTAGTTTCATATACTTCATAGAATGTTTTTATTAGATTTAGTGTATATGGTTACATACTTATATTTTTCAGTTTTTCTCATTTAAGCCATAAAATTTTACTATTTTGGTTTTATTTCCAGCCATTGACCATATATCAAGCAATTCAGATTGCTTCTGTGAACAGTTGATCCATGAAACTACTAATGAACTATGCATACTCTACATAGGTATTTTCATCACTTTTAAAACCTGATTTAGCTTATTGCATATAGATTTTTTTGGACCTGCTATTCCACATGCATATAGATTTTGTTGGTAGGTTCTAGTAACAAAATACAACTACATTTACCTATCCAGAAGCTCATCATCAACAATTAAGTATCTCTTTTTGTTCAATATATTTATGTTACTTTCTAGTTCTTATCATGCTGAGTTTAGTGAGGTCAAAAAGAACAGTGGTTGTTCTTCCTGGAGATATTTATACTTTAAAACATTAGAACATTCGTATCAGGGAGGTCAAAAAGCACAATGGTTGTTCTTCATGGAGATATTCATATATTAGAACATTAGAACATTCATCAAACTTTGCATGGATTTGACTTTTGTTGATGTAGGAACTGAACTCGGAGTCGGTTATACCTAGAGGTTTCTTCGAATGGAAAGAGACCATGGATTCTTGGGGTTCCAAAATGATATTTGCTATAGAGGTGAAGTGACTTTGAATCATAATTTCTTGAATGTTACAGGATATAATTCAAAATTCAATTTCCTTAGGTTGTTGCTGAAATGGCAGCAATTGGTTCCACTGAGGTCACTTTTTATCTTGGATATGTGACACATAAGTAAATGGTTAAGGTCATAGAAAAGTAATATTTGTTAATTTTCACTTATACTAACCAAACTTTGTTTCGTACTTATTATACTTTGGTGATTTTATGTGGCATGTTATCTAACAATCAAAGAGCTTCCCCAGTTTGTTGATGTTTGAATTATATGTTTCTGGATTGTAGGGTCCACATTTTCTTGCTCCAATACGGAGTAGCCTTGAACGCCATGGGAAAGAGGGTACTGTGTTTGCAGGATAAAATTATGACCTTAATTTTTTAACCATTCATGGAAGAAGTAGATTCCCTGGTCTAAGTATTTGGTAGAAATTTTGAGAGGATAGCATGGGATGCTACAGGGGAGCGTTTGGTTGTGTCATATAAAGATGGAAATGAGTTGTACAAGGGTCTCATTGCCATATATGATGTCAAAAGGGATACAATCATAACCCCCTCATTAACGTATGTCATGAATTTTCATTCTTTACATAATGCATAATAATAATTAATAAAAGACTTATCATGTCAATATAACATATACCTCTTCCTTATCATCGAAAGTGGTTCTTGTTTCTTTTTTTTTTTTTTTGAATTGATTGATGCAGTGGGTTCATCAGAGGGCCTGGAGAGGACCCGAAGCCTCTAACATTTTCATTCCATGACAAGTACAAATAAGGGCCCCTGTTATCAGTTGTAAGTATTCTATTTCTAACACCCATTTTATCAATTTAGCCACTCATACTCAACTATTATTAAAATAATCATAAATAATTAATTAATAAATATTATGCAATGCAGGTATGGAGCACTAGAAATTGTGTCACCTACCCCCTCCTTATTCGTCCCATCTCCTTGCTTATCTTAAGCCCAGCCCACCTATTTTCAATTTTCTTCACCTGAACACTTTCTCTCTAGTTTTACAGCAATCATGGGCATTTGATTTGTAGAATCTTATCAGAAGGAATGGAATCTCTGTCAAAGGATTTACTTATATATATAATGGGGTATTTTGGTATTTTAACAAATTTGTTAATATTCTATCAATTTAGCCCCTCAACTGGTAAGTATCCTATCTTTATTCTACTGTTTGTCCATTTCTACATATCTACAATATGATTCTTGAATATTCACATCTTTTTTATATATGGAATCTGAAATGTTTAGGGACTAAATCAAACTCCTTTTCGAGCTTGCAAAGTAAAGAGGTGTAAAAGGAAATCTAGAGTTTTCTACAGGCTACAAAATGCTATGTACTATGTAGTAGTCCTTTCAATGTGTTACTTTTTTTTTATTAAATCTTTTTTTTCAATTTTTTAACTTTTTCTTTAATCTATGCAGGTTGTGGATGCACCAAAGATTCTGACAGTGACTGGAAAGATTCCATTTTTATCAGAATTTATGAACTCTCTATACGAGTGTCAATATAAATCAATCTTCTCTACTTTTGGTGAGTTTATGTTATACCTTTTACATGTTGATGAGGGTTATTTTGGTTGTGGTTTAATTTAATAATTTATAATGATATTATTTATTTGCAGCTAGGATCACTGAGTATATTAACTTGGATCGGTATTTGCATCCACACTTTCGTTTATACATGAGAGAGATCAGGACAGTTGTGTATTCTCAGTTCCTAGAATCTTACAAGAGTGTCACCGTTGAAGCCATGGCAAAGGCGTTTAGTGTCACAGTTGATTTCATTGATCTGTAAGAAAATTATCTAACATTATTTTCGTTGAATTATTTGTTCCTATCTGTATCATGAGGGTATTCTGGTCTTTTTATGTGTGTGATTGTTTGAATTTGGTGGGGGAAACAGGGAGCTGTCACTATTCATTGCAGTAGGGAAGCTTCATTGCAAGATCGACAAAGTAGCATGTGTTTTGGAAACCAGCCGCCTAGATGCAAACAATGCTCTTTATCATATCTTATGCTTTGAGTTCTTCTCTAGCAGTTCCAAGAACAGACAAAATATTGCAAATTCAGGTCTGATGATTCAGCCTTATTTAATTTCTTATGCTTTTAATTATGGGGTTAAACCTTCTTTATTAGATTTTGCCTTAATTGTTGCTAATAAAATCCTTCTCTTGGATTCATATTTCACTATTATTGTGTTTCATAGATCTACCATTGCTTAAAGGTAAAGTTGGCTACCAAAATATGCCAATCATCAATTGGTAGCTCACTGTTTTACTCTCGTCATTAAGCCATGAAATGAAAATAAGACCTTTGACTGAGGACCAGAGAGTCAAAATGCTATCCCAATCACTTCACTTTATCCTTGAATTGGTTGGCTTAATGATTAATGGATTCTTGTATCAAGCCTGATGACATGCTAGTAAGTACCAACACCTTAATTCCTTATATATTTTTTGAGTAAACAACAACAATGGTGTCTGCGCTTTTTGAGTTTACTATGTTTAGTCCAAAATTGAGGATCTTCCGCCATTACCAGCTTATCAGCTTCTGTTGGGTTGAAGCGGCGGGACCATGGCCGATTGGTCTCACTCACCCCCAGTTATGACCTTGTGTCATCGAGGATCTTAGTTTACTTATTGGAAGGATAGTTTTGTAATTATTTGGTGTGTTGTAGTTTATGCTTATTGGCTGAATGATCTTTATCGATAGAAGGGTAGATTAGTAACTATTAATTTATAATTTACATATAATACACATCAAACATTTTTTTGGCTTAATGAACGTTATCGATAATTCATTGTGTTTTTCTTCTCAGCTTACAAGTGAGCCACACATGTCTCATGGAATGCTCAATTTTGACTAAAAGGTAAATCATTAGTCTTGTATGCTTTACAAGTTTTCCATTTTTATTAAATTGTGTCACTTTATTGTTAATTGTTTTTCAAATTTGTATGCAAGGATTCACAAGAGGTGGCATTGTGCAACAGTAAGTTGAAACATATAAGTTTCGATTACAAAGTTCATAACTATGAAATTCGAACTTAGAACCTTTAATCTGATGCAACTACCAACAACACTTAAACAATTATAGTGGAAAAACAAATTAAAGCTATATATGACTGAATTTGCTTATTTGGTTTTAAACTTTTTCGCAGGTCCAGTGGAAGAACATAAGTCGTTTATGTAGCAGAAAAGAAATACTGACAGTGGATGGAGAGTATTCCGGACCAACAATGTAGTAATGTAGTATTAGGTTATCTAGTTAGGGAAAACCTCTTAAGAACAACGTACAATCGGATCCCCTTAATACCAATGTATTACAATTTTTTGACATGATGTTATGGCTGAAATTGATTGTTTTGGTATATTTTGTTTCCATATTCTTGTATTATGCGTAAATGAGTGTTGTAAATATGCGCCATAAATGTATATCGTAAATGGTTCCTAAAGTTTATGACACACAAATGTGTGTTATCTTCATTTATGATAGGGCCTTTAATGATACGCAATGTGCGTCCTAAACGTGCGTCGTAAGGTTACGACACGTAAATGCGTGTCGTCTTCCTTTATGATACAGGCTTTCTTGATACACATTGCGCGTCATAAATGTGTGTCGTAAATGCATGTCGTCTATAGACGACGCGCAAAAGCGTGTCGTCTCTTGTTACGACATGTCCTTCCTTGACGTGTTTGAGCATCGTCTGAGCGTTTTAAGACATGCATTGCGCGTCGTAAAAGGTTGTTTTTCTAGTAGTTCTTAGAATGCCCTTACACTCCAGGGAACTTATGTGAGACCATTTTGTGATTAGACATGTGCATTGTGACTCTTTTAGTGTTCATTCCAAGAAGAAGAGGTGGTTTTACAAGCTTGGAATAAGTTGGTGCTTCAAGATCCTACATCTTAGTAATCTTGCAAAGCTTCTAGTGGTCTAAAGCTTGCACCTTTCCATCTTAATTTCTAGATCTAGCTAGGGTTTCTTGTTTGGTCCATTTATAGATGATTTGTACCTCCTTTGAGAGTTAAGCAACTCTGGGAGAAGGGATAGACAGATCTGAGGTCCTTTGGTCCTTTAGTACCATAAAAATGGAAGCTTGATGAGAGCTTTGACCTCATGCATGGGTTAAAGACCTTGGAAAGGTCTTAATGGAGAGGTAGGGTGTGTTTGAGTCATGAAAAGGCATAAAGTTTCCATCTTTATGCGTTAGGACATCTTTACAAACTTAGATCTGGCTTTTGGACGTAAAGGACTCGAGTATTAAGCACTTAATGGGGAGAGTGCTTAAACTGAGGGTATGTTGAGCGTTACTCAACATACACGGGGCGTATCCCCATGTCCTAGTATGCGGCGCGTACCAAGATGGTACGCTGAGCGTACGCATTGTAGATGGGCCGAATCTGTTTTGGGCCCTTAGGCTATTTGGGCCTTATTTGCTTATTGGGCCTGTTATAATCTGGGAATTATGATTCATATATTTGTTGCGGGCCATGGAATTAGTGTTGGGCCTTTATTAGGCCAAGAAGCCCTTTAAGGATTTTGGACTTGGGCTTTGGGCCCATTAGCAAAGGATGGATATTATGCCTTCTGGAAGGGTTGGGGAGCTAGGTTCCCTTGGTTAACCAAAGTTCTAACATTAATTAATATCATCATTCAACTTGGGAGGTTTCAGACTGTTAAAAGAGCAGCTATTGTATTCAGCTGACAGAGGTAAGTCTCCTCACCATACCAATGGGTCTAAGGCACCAAGTCCATCCCTTCATGTGATTATGATACATGTGTTACACATCCTATGATTTGATATGTTATGTTATTGTGTTCGTATGTAAGACCTCGGGGGGTTCCTAAGGAACTTAGGTGTAAGACCTTGGAGGGTTTCCTTGGCATACTAGGTCAAAGACCTCAGGAGGTTACCGAGGCATTGTGCTAAGGCCATGTGGGGGTTCCCATGGCACCCAGAGTAAGACCCTAGAGGGTTTCCAGGGCTTACTTATGTGATTAGCATGCATAGTTTATGTGTTTTGGATAGCTGTTTAGCTAGTATGTTATGCTATACGTGTTTGTGTGCGGGTGTGCTATGGGAAACTCATTAAGCTTTCAAGCTTACCGTTTGTGGATTTGTTTCAGGTACATATGATCCCAAGGGCAAGGGCAAGTCATGATGGTGCAACATGCACTCTGTTTCTCCTTTACTTGTGTGTTTTGGGACACTCTGATGTTTTTTAAATAAGATAATGATGCAATGAATGTGAATTTGAAAATAGATGTTTTTGGGAATTTATGGTTTATGCAAATGGTTTGATTATTGAAAAATGAAATTTTTCTTTCTAAAAATTGGGTCGTTACAGTGGACCTGATCAGCGCACAACCAAGTGTACCCGATCTCCTAGTCCTTCACTTGACTCACATATACATGTGAACAAGGAATTAGTCTTAATTTCGCAAAGATGAAAATTCTCATTCAACATACAATACAAGTTGCATGATTCCAAGTTTCTATCCAACTGAAACTTAGGTGATAAGAATCCTTCATTATTTGGTAAATTATGACACTACCACAAACGAAAGAATCAAATCCATTTTCCAATATTTCTATCAATGGAATCCTATAAACAACAAATTTCACAAATGTCATTGTAAGGATACTTAAAATAAATACAAAATTTTCTTTATAAAATTTGTGGAAAAACTTTTCCTTACAATGCAATGAAAACTATGTTGTTATCTATTCCTAAGCAATCTATCATAACTGTTAAGCAGCAGCTCAAAATTTGGATATTCAAATCATACGATTGAAATCCATCTTCGCGATCGGATTCAGCATACTCTTCTTCTAAGTTTCCTCTTTTTTTTTTCCGATTCTACAAAACATCAAAATGTGACCTCGTCACAATATGTAACAAGAATCTCCAAATAGGAACTTAATAGATTTAGATAGTGGACTTACCTAAAGTAGAGTCAAACTTTTTGACTTTACCATCCTTATGATCTTTCAGGTAAATAGGGTAGCTTCGCAACCAATGCCCCTTCTTTTGGCAATAGAAACACATGGACTGTTTAGGAATGGTACATGGGACTATCTTAGACTTAGCCTTTCTCTTTACCATTTGGTTAACCGAGTTGACTATAGCCGATCCCTTTCCATCGGGTAGAGAAGACTTTTCTAGACTTCCAATGTTTCCATTGTCAATGTCCATGTAAGTTTAGGAAGTGGATCTTCCTTCCAATGCTCCAAACCATTGTTGATTCAACAACATCAAGCAAATAGGTAAGATCATTAAGGGTTATGTCATGGTATGTCACATAGTAATCCTTAATGAACACACTATATGACTCGGGAAGCGATTAAAGAACCTAGTCAACAACCATCTTCCTCGAGACTTCGACATCCAACTCTCCCAGCCTATTAATATGTGACTTCATCTCCAAGATGTGAGTGTATATAGACATTTCTTACCAATAGTGATTGAGTGACCTTGAACTTTTCAAGATCTTGTGGATTAGGGAGAATAATTGGAGGAGGTAGAGGAAGTGAAGTATGATTTCCACTCCCATTAATGCATGACTAAGTGATTAATCTTTCACCTTGATCGCCATGTGGAATATCGTCTTCATTAGGAAAGCTCTATCTGAAAGGAAAAGGAATACCATAGTTGTCATAATTGGACATCTACGAGGGAGAAATTCAAGCAAGTTGATTTAAGTCCTTAATATAACACCCAATATGAAATTTTAAGGCTAGGACCCAACACAATATTTTGTAGCTTGGATTACGGATGTGAGTACATATATACATTGCTTGCCAATAGGGATTGAGTGACCTTGAACTTTTCAAGAATGTGTGGGTTAAGGAGAATAATTGGAGGAGGTAGAGGAAGTGAGTATGATTTCCAGTCCCATTAATGCACAACAAAGGGATTTATCTTTCACCTTTATCTCCATGTAGGATATCATCTTCATTAGGAAAGCTCTATCCAAAAGGACAAGGAAGACCATAGTTGTCATAACTGGACATCTATCAGGGAGAAATTCAAGCAAGTTGATTTAAGTCCTTAGTATAACACCCAATATGAAATATTAAGGCTAGGACCCAACACAATATTTTATAACTTGGAAGAGGGATGTCGTGATCCAAGGTACAAAATATTTGAAGGCAGGTGAATGACGATTTACCAATTTCCACCATGGAAAATGAAAAAGAATTTTAGGTCTTAAATGGATTGAAATTCCTAGATCCTTTGAGATTCATTGAACTATACAATGGCA